TTTGGACTGAGTCACACTCCCCCTTAATGAGGCTCCAGCGGAGTCTCCGGGGGGGGGGGGGGGGGGGATCATTGGCGAAGGATGATTGCAAAGTGAGCAAGCGATCCGTGGCATGCGAGCTAAAAAATGCAGATCAGAATAACCCACTTTAAAATGCGGCGTTAAAAAAAAAAAAAGTGACACCCTCAGCACATAAAGTGTCCTTTATGCTAAAGGAATCCTGGTGTAATTATGGCTTAGCAGGCCCAAGGTTAACAAAAGGCTTCATTCACTCGGTAGTATGTTGCGAAGCAGTAAAAGTGAACCATTGTTTGAACCGTGGCTCAGATCAAAGCGATGGATGCGTCATGAGGCGCAGAGACGCTCTCATCCTCCCTCCGGAGCGCTCATTACATTACTTTTAGCAGGAGGAGGTTATCTAGATTTAAGAGGGTCATTTTGTCTATTTTTCGTCTCTTCCGCTGATCCTCAAATACGAGAAGTTGGACGTAGATTTCGGTAATGCTGCAACCCACCGAGACCAAGGTTTCCACAATGCATAAATCAAAAACCTTAAACCATCATGTCAATGAAATTGTGCCTGTGCATTAAACCCTTCCTAAGCACCCCAAGCAGCTGGGGACTGCTGAGAAGCGCCTGGCCAGCAACGTTGGCTTCGGAGCCAGCGATCGAACCGCCGACCTTCAAACTAAAGGCCAACCCTCACCGGTTCAGCTGGTTGGGCGCTTTAAATCACTTTCAACGCGGCTATCACATATTTGCAACTCAACTCATGCCCGCCGCCGCTTCCTTACTTAACAGGGCTCGGAGTTGTTGCACCGCTTAGTCAGAGCCAGGGGCAGCTGTTCCACACAAAGCCGACAAACCACGCACGGCGTGTGAAACGACGGCGAGGGGAGAAGAAAGGGGCCTTCACACATGATGCACGACAACCGGCGCGGATACGCCTCGTGTAAGCGGCCGACGGCGGTTGAGGTTCCATCCCCAAAAAGCCTCCTCCTTCGATTAAAAAAGGAAACTCGTGTCGGCAGTCTCCCGCCTCGAGGGACGGCGCAGACAACGACTTTCGAGGGGGGGGGGGGGGGGGGGGTTCTCGGAAGAGACGTCCCGAAAACGCGTGGCAGAAGCACTAGAACGGGAGGCTCACTGACTGAAAAGAAAATGAGAAGAATTGGACAAAGTCCCCGTTGCATCTCAGTTGAATTTGATCCAAGCTAAAGAAAGAAAGCGAGAGGGGAAAAAGAGCCGGTGGAATGATGTAAAGGCAGTTTCACTCCAGAGAAATTGACCAGAGAGAAGCCTGCTGAAATACTATTGTGCTCTCGTATTCAGGGCTGGGCCTCCTTTGTCAGACTGGCCTCTCCCAACCTGTCATTTCAGTCCAGGGTGACGTGACGACCCCCCCCCTCAAGCCCATGTCATGTGTATCCCAACCTGATCTGATCACACCTGTGAACTATTTCAGCGGGCTCACGTATTCCCTTGTCTTCAACAGAGCAACACACACACACTTCCCCCCACACAACCCCCCCCCCCTCCCCCTCCTCCAAAAGCTTCAGCTTCTTCTCCTAAATGCTTCAACAAATCAATAGCACAAAGACGCCCCTGAACGCCGGGCTTCTCTTCCCTTTGCCTTTCCCTTTTCGGAAGTTTGGAATAATGCAAAAGCGGCACTACCGAAGACGGCTTATCCCTTTTCATAACCCTTTCTGAGCAAACAAGTCACGCGGTGACGCCGTCGGGTCGGCGAAACAGGTCAAAACGGCCACCGAGCGACAGGAAACGACAAGAGATAAACACTTTCAATGGCACCCTAAGGAGATTTACGCCAGCGGCCCAGGATTTGAGCGACGAGTGTTCTTCCGGTGAGCTATTTA